TCTCTCTCTGGTGAGTACGGTGTGTGCACGTCCGTTGTGTTGCTCCTGTCTTAAGTGCATATTTTTTCTGCCGCAAGCCGCCTTCGGGCTTTTTAGTTGCAGGTTCTTGCAAGTCTTTTGTTGCTCGTCACGTGCTGTTATTAGCACGCATCGGGCTATCGCCGATTCCTGGTATTTGCATGACGAATGTTCTCATTATTGCGCTATTATTTCTGAGAATCATTCCCTGGAGGATGCTGTCCTTTTCTGCGCATGCGCCTGCCGCTTGATCTGTACTTTCCTACACCTGCTGTTCTGGCGTGCCGTCGAGTTGGAGTCGATATCGACGTTCGACGATCGATATTGGGACTTCGAGCTGTCTCATACACAGTGTGCTCGGGTCCATGTCAGTCAACTGCTTAGTCACGTCGCGTAACTTGGGCTGTCTACATAGTCGCGTCGTGTAACTTGGGCCACTCGTGTGTCGAACATGGAATCGCGTACATGTGTCAAGTGCAAAAAGTCGATCGCCAACCAGGTGCTCGAGTGCTTGGTGTGCAAGCGGGTGTTTCATCCCGGCTGCATCAAGGCCCACGCTGCAACCAAGTATGCGGATACTTGCTGCAGAGCACTGTCGGCTTCGCTCGGCGCCCCTCCTTCACCGGCCATTGATGTGCACGCTTTCGATTTTTCGGGTGGATCATCATGTGCTCCGATGCAGACTCAGGTACAGGCTCGGGTGCAATCTCATGATCACGCCTCGATTGATGTCATGTTCCGGAAACTGTGTGAACAATTACGGGATTCGGATGCTAAACTCTCTGCCTTCGTCGAGGAGCAGCGTCGTACAAACCATGGTAGAAATACAAGGGTATGCTCATACCGTGTCAGACCACTGCGCATTCCCACCACTTTTGGTCAAGCTTACGTCATATTCGTGTAGCATCGGAATGAATCGGATGTACTCGGTGATTCGCAATGGCTGCGTTCGCTCGGTTCGCTGTTTATGTCGAGTAATTCGTTTGTGATTATTACAGTGTACGCAATGACGTGTAATGTGAAAGGGTGTGGGAACTATCTGGCAAAGACCAGAAAGATCGAAGGAAATAAAATAAAATATTTTTCCTTCCCAAAGGATCCAGCACTGTATAATAAGTGGCGTCAAGCATGCGGAAAAGAAAATATTTTACCAAAAAATGGTATGTACTGTAATGTACCACAGATTTCTCTTGTTTATTATTATAAGCATATATTTAAGAATCTTAAACCTTGTTTGCTTCAGCTAGGATATGTTCGAAGCATTTTGCTGATGAAGCTTTTACGAAGCCCTTACGAGAACATCTACTAGGTTATTCACCTATACGAACTAGGAAGATACATCCTGATGCTATCCCGACGTTGCATCTCCATGCAGTACCTCCACTAACATCAAACGAAAATGTGTTAGCTGAAACAATGCCTTTGCCTGTATCAAATGAAGTTTCGATGGATGTTGAACAGACACCAGCATCGTCCAGTATAGAAGAACAGACACCAGCATCGTCCAGTACAGAAGAACAGACAGCAGCATCGTCCAGTACAGAAGAACAGACACCAGCAAAATATAAAGCAAAATATATAGCCGGATACGTAGCATTTAGATTTAAAAGCACAGATAAAACATTAGGTATTGAAACGCGCCAATTGGAAACAACGGGTGACCAAGATTGGCTGCAAGTTATTTCGCGAGGAAAATGTATGTATCCGAGTGACAAATTATTACAATGTGCTCGTATAATGAATATTGAGTTTGCTAAATATCACGGATCCAGTTTGAATAAAGAAAATCTTATATTTCAAAACTTAGCAAAAATAATAGAACCACAATTGAAAATTAAAATACCGAGAGAGGCATTACTATGCCTCATTAGGACTAGGACATATATTAGGCTGCGCGAAATGAACCGAGCGATTGCAAGCGCAAATCACAGGCAAAAAAGAAGAAAGATGTCAAAATTTACTAATAAAAAACCTGTATATTAAATATTTGCATTTATTGTTATTTGATCTTTTATCTGCATCTTTCCTCTGCATATATAGTTCTTTATGTCGTACGCCACAATATATTTTTGTTTTGCGTCTCAGCTGACAATTCTTTTCCAATCGTTTTCCGACCAGTTTTGATTAAAACTAATAATTCGCAGAATTTTAATAATAAATGACTGGAAATTAAAATCTCGTTTTATGTGAAATTTTTCCGTACGTCGCAATGATTTTTATTCAATGCACACAATTCTTTTTTTCTTAATAATAATAATATTTTCTGTAATATCATATATTTAGACAAATCCACATAAAATAATTATAAAATTCGTCAAATAACAATAACGTTTCTAACATCTACAACGAGAGACAAATTCGGGAAACGATGAGCGTTTATCCGTATGTCACGTGCGTTTTTTATATTTATATATTTTTGTTCATATATATTTATTTATTTATAAAACAGAATTTTCTCTCACATAAATGATCAACATTATTTTGTATTCACATATTGTCCGCTCAAAATGCTTTTATAAATGACTATTATAGATTCGCTGCTTAAATGTGCCGCTCAGTGTGACGTAAGCTTGACCAAGTCGCTGATTGGCTGGGTTCGGAAATATGCGCAAGAGCATACCCTTGTATTTCTACCATGGTACAAACAAGGAGATCAACGATAAATTGAATAGGCTCGGTCTCATTGCGGACACCGTCGCTCTTAACACGCAGCGCATTGACAAGCTTGAGCAAGAGAGTTCTGCTCTGGCGCGCGACGTGCAGGCTTTAAAGGCCGCTCAGCTTGTCCCGTGTGCCCGCGAGGATACTGAGAGGGATCTGTCTGCAGCATTGCGTGTCCCTCGAACGTCGGATTTAATAATCTCTGGCATCCCATCTTCTGTTACCGAGTCATCTTGTGAGCTCGTTGAGTGTGTTTTTCGTGCGCTGGGAATCCCTCAGCTTGTCTCCGACGTTCTCGAGACACGTGATGTTGCGACGCGTGTTGCGTCGTCGGATCATGATGCTGCGTCCGCGTCCGCGTCCGCCCCTGCCGTCGATCGTGCGGACGTTCGGGATCGGCGCAAACCGATCATTGTCGCGCTCAAGTCGCGTGAGATTCGTGACCACATTATCAAGGTCATGCGCGTTAGGCGCCGACTCCCTGTTAGCGACGTTTTCTCAACTAGCAGACCTGGCAACATTTATATAAATGAATTGCTCCCGAGTCACACTTACAAGTTATTGCGCCAAGCGCAAGTCGGGGCGAAGCAGCTGTCGTTCGGGCACGTGTGGAGCAGCGACGGGCGTGTTTTCGTCCGCAAGGACCGTGGCCAGCCACCGATTCCTATCGCCTCCGAGGCTGATCTTGATAGGCTCCAGTGACTCTCGACGGGAGCTGTGGTTCCTCCTGCCTCGCGTGGTCATCTCCGGATTGCGTGCTTCAATGCCTGCTCCCTCCCTGCCCATATCGAGTCAATCCGCGTTCTTTTAAGGTCAAACTTTTTTCACATAATCTCGATCTCTGAAACCTGGTTACACTCTCATATCTCTGACGACTTAGTTCGTATCCCAGGTTACTGTCTGTTACGAGTCGACAGGGAGGGCAGGGAGGGAGGAGGTGTTGCTTGCTTCATCCATGACTCGCTGCGCGCTCGCGTGTTGGCATCGTCGCCTTCGTCCTTCTCCAACGAGCCCGAATTTCTTCTACTCGATGTTCGTGGTGATGCTTACGAGCCTCTTCTGTTCACCTCGATGTACCGCAGACCGCGAGGAAGAAATTTCGGCAGGTATGTGGATGCTCTCACTTCGGCAATGCATAGTTATAAGAATATTATCATCTCAGGCGATCTAAACTCCAATCTCCTCTCCTCGTCATACGAATCCAATCACCTCAGAGACATAGTCTCCCAATTGTCGCTCAACATTGTTGAGTCAAATTCGACTTATCACACTAGCTCTTCAGACTCGTGGTTGGACGTTTTTATTGTAGATAGCTTGGACAAGGTCTCTTCGTTTCGAAAATCGGATGCACCCTTTATCAATGGTCACGACCTAATTGAGCTCACGTATTCATTTGCTGTTCCCTCTCCTACTGACCGTACGTTGACTCGTCGCAGTTACGGGGAATTCGACGAGCATGGTTTTGTTGAGACTCTCACATCCATGTTGTCTTCGTCCTTCGCGGCTGACTTTGGCCAGGCGAGCCTCGGCGAGCCTGACTTAGACAGCATTCTAGGTACGATAACCAATAATTTCACTTCCAGTCTCGACAGGTATGCGCCCGTCCGCACCTTTCGAGTAAATCGTCCTTCAGCACCTTGGCTCACCGACGCTCTCGCTCGTCGAATTCAGCACCGCAACCGCCTATACAATATCGCCAGAAGATCTGGCAGTGTCCTAGATTTTCATATTTATAGGCTATATAGGAACAATCTCACAGTAGATATGAGGAAGGCCAGAAAGCACTTCAATATGGCGAGATTATCCGCGATTTCCCGGCCATCTAAGCTGTGGCGTGAGCTCGCTGGTCTCGGCCTCATTGAATCACCTTTATCCTCACCGCTAAATTACTTTTCTCGTGACACTCTGAATGCTCATTATGCTTCCATCTCCAATTGCTTTCCCTCTTGTACACAATCTCAATTTTCCGACATCATTTCATCCATAGTTCCTGACACTCCTTCATTCAGTTTTTCTCAGATATCCGTCGATGATTTATGCTCCTTCGTCTCTTCATCTTCCGTTTCTCTTGCTTCGGGTTGCGATCACCTGCCACTTCATGCCATAGCGTTGGCCCTGCCTCACGTGGGCAATCTCCTTACTTCATTCTTCAACGGTTGTCTCAAGCTCTGTTACTTCCCGTCATTGTGGAAACGAGCCATTCTACGCCCGCTATCCAAAATTAAATCTCCTGCCTCTCCTTCCGACACGAGACCTATAGCCAACCTGTGTGAGCTCTCCAAATTATTTGAAAAAATTATGCATCGCCAAATCACAGACTTTATAAATTCTCATCGCATTCTTGACGACAGGCAGTCTGGTTACCGTAAAGGTTACTCGACCCAGTCTGCTCTTTTACGACTAGCTCATGACATCAAGAGTGGCGTTGACGTGGGTGAGGTACTGATTCTCGTTCTTTTTGATTTCAGTAAAGCTTTCGACACTGTCTCTCATCCGCTGCTTCTTACCAAGCTCAGGAAACTCGGCTTTTCTGACCAAGCCTTGAAACTAATTTTTTCGTACCTCACCGGTCGTCTTCAAGCGGTCGTTGATTTGGAGGGCGTCTTCTCAGAGTGGCTGTCTGTCACCGCCGGCGTCCCGCAAGGATCCGTCCTTGGACCACTCCTTTTCTCTCTTTTTATTAACGATATCGGCGCGTTCCTAAGATTCACGGACCATTTGATATTTGCTGATGACACGCAAATTTACCGTAGGTGTCTCTTGAGTCAACTAAATGTCGGGCTGCAACTTGTGGCGCACGATGTGAGTGTTGTCTCTGAATTCGCGGCCTCAAATGGACTGACCCTCAACCTCAATAAATCCAAGGTCTTGATATTTGGAAGCAGAAGCAACACGAAACAAATTAACCTCAACGACCTTCCTCTTATCTCTGTTGGTGGTGTTTCGATTCCCTACGTGACTGAGGCGCGTAACCTGGGAGTTATCATGAGATCTGACCTATCTTGGGTCAGCCATGTCTCCCATATTTCCAAAAGAGTCCACTTTACGCTTTATAAGCTCAAGTTTCACAGGAACTCCTTATCGCGTCAGTTACGGGTGAGACTTGTGACCGCACTCATTTGGCCTTTGCTTGATTATTGTTCCCTAGTGTACAATGATGTCACTGACGAGCTTGACACCAGATTGCAAAGACTAATTAACTGCGCGATTCGCTTCATATTTAAATTAAGACGTGATGAGCATATTACACCTTTTCGTCATCAACTCGGATGGTTGTCAGTGAAGAACAGGCGACTCTATTTTTTGGGAATTGAAATGTATAGGATATCCCGCGGTATGTCTCCGGGTTACCTCACCAACATTTTCATCAAACCCGATTCCTTGATTAGACATTCGTCACGCCTGGAGGTAGAGCATGCATTTCAAATTCCTATCCATAGGACGGAGACATATCATCGTTCTTTTCATCTCGCGGGTGTCTACTTATGGAACTCGCTTCCTTCAGAGATTGTGTCCTCATCGACCATCATTCAATTCAAACGAAAGCTTCACAATCACCTCTTTTCCCTCGAGTCTAGTTCCGTGCCTGCTTCCACGTAGGTGCAATTAAGCGTCTGAATACGTGTCGTGCTTAAGCTAGTCGCTCTAGTCAGTAATTTACTCTCAGTTTAAGTTATATTATCTATTTTGTGTTTTCTTACGTTTTAGTTTTAAAGTTATATCTATTTTGCGTTTTCTCACCTAGTTTTGAGCATCATGATTCATTTTCAATCTAGTCGTGTTATTCGATAGCTCTAGTTTAGTTATTTCATCAGAATTTTTGCGTCAAGCGTCAATGTAATATACATTCACAGATATTATAGATATAAGTTATAATTATTCCTGCTTTTATTTTGTATATAGAGAAAACATTAGATTTAAGTATTATTTGTAAATACGTTATACATTTGTTTGTTCTTGTTTGCCTAAAGTCATGGACTAGGGCATAATAAATCCCATCAATCAATCAATCAATCAATCTCTCTCTCTCTCTCTCTCTCTCTCTCTCTCTCTCTCTCTCTCTC